AATTCCATTATCAGGTTTATGCTGAAAAACAGGTAATAAATGGATTATAACTATTCCATAAATATAAATTAGTACCATAAATTCCGCTAAAAATACAAAACATTAAATAAAAAGTAAACTAAAATCTGTCATTTTTGACCATCATGAATACAACAGAGAGTTAAAAGTATAGCAACTAGTTTCGATGGTGAAAAATGGTCTCTATATGAATATTGGCTTGGTGACATCATCAGATGTGGAAAGTCATTTGAGTGCACATACATATAATGTGCACATACGGACTAGGAATGTGCATCAAGAAAGTGTTTCTGAAAAGCATAGCATTAAAAGCACCAAGGTCATGGGTTTGTTTCCCAGGGAATGAATGAACTAATAAAATGCGTACTTTGAAAAGAATGTAAATAAAAGCATGTGCCAAATGCAACATATCTTAAATTAAATCAAAAATGAAAATTAAATCAATGTGCACATACACACTAGAAATGTGCATTAAAAAAGTATAAAGCATAGCATTAAAAACACCAAGATCATTTGCTCAGTTTCCATGGAAGGCATGAACTGATATAATGTGTATAACTTGCTTTGGATAAAAGCGCGTGCCAAATGCAAAAAAACAGTAAATGAAATCAAGCCAATTTAGAGTTCATGTTGAATTTAACCACCAAAGATGTGTTTTTAAAAACATAAATTTGCAGAATTAAAAAAAGAACAGAGGCAGAGAAAGCATCCACTGTAAATGAGAGGGTAAACAGAAGACCTCTTCTTCTCTCAGTCACTATGTCTAGTAATTTAGATTTGCTTAAGTCTATTATTTCCTAAATTAGTCAACTGCATTTAGACAGAAGTGGCCCTAACTGCACTGTAACACTTTTTAATTGGGCCTAGTACATAGCCTTGTTGAACACCTCATAACGTGTGCTTACTGAGTTATGCTGTGTGCTAAAATGCTGTGAATGTGATACATCACAACACAATAAGCTGATCACAGCTAAAACTATACGTGAAATATTGGTTTAATTCAGACAGATGACATTTTGTTTACATTTAGACAAATGAGTCAGACACTAGTCTCAGTCTCAAAAGTACACATTGCACACAAAAGCAGAAGGCACTTTTTTGATCTGGCAAGTTTTACTACAAATAATATGGTTAAACTATGGTTTGTGTAGTAAAACCATAGTTCATTTGTGGTTACCATGGTTTAACTACAACAACCAAGTTTCTTATGGTAGTACAACCATGGTTAATTTTCATAAGAGTTGAATGATACTACATTTTTGTTTGAAGCATTCATTAGCAAATAAAATATATCTAAAAAAATAAATAGGTATGACTTTGTCAGTCCTTTGTTTAAGTGGTTGACTCTTGTCCAGAATAAGTAGCTATATGAATCAGCTACTTTAGAGTTGATTTTAGAGTGCTCAAAATCAACATGCACACTATGCATCAAAGAAAGTTTCTTGTATCTTTAAAAGCTCCAACCATTGAAATTTGAATTTGAAACTAAATGAATATGAAAATGTCTTTGGTATAATAATAGAAAATGTTTTGACATAAAAGTCCAATAAAACAAGGACAACACAGACTGCTAAGCCATAGCATGATTCACTTGTTGTATTATGACTCAGAAACTGTATTTAAGCCTGTGTATTTTCATCTCCTGGCCAGCGTCCATGTTATTGGTTGAAGTCTTTTAGGAGCAAGATAATCAGATCTACCTGCCTGTGCTAAATTGTCAGACTGGGCTCTCACAGACAGCTATAGAAGAGCGCTGTTATTTTCTTCTTCTCCTGGTAATTGAGGAACATGCTTTGGCAGGCTTAGTGGAGCAGGGCACCCAAGAATCACAGACAACACACCCCAACTCATCACAAACACACATTCCCATTTACAAAACCCAGAAAGCCCATCTTCCAACACGCTTTTGTGTCAAACTGCAACAGAGCACAGATTCACACTAAATTTCAGATGTCACAAAAGAGAACGCTCTATTACTGCCTCCTCAACACATGCTCACACACACACACACACACACATGCGGCCGCAGCCGGCTCTGTCTCACATGCGAAGGTCTCCATTGACAAAGTAGCGCGATGGTAGTCCCGAAAGTCATGTTCTGCAGGCCAGGTCACGGCACTCTCACACATTCCCATCAATGTTTCATCATGTGCATTTAGTGTTTCTGCACACAGTTTCCCCTTTTGGGTTATGTAAAAATAGCTTATGTAATTGGGCACTTACATAATGAAGCGTTATAAATTATATTTATTGATTTTGGTCGCCTTAACAACAGTGAATTATCTGCTGCAATGCAGATTTTTAATTTTTAAGCGCTCTTCTGATAAGGTAAAATGCGTACTTTGAAAAGAATGTAAATAAAAGCATGTGCCAAATGCAACATATCTTAAATTAAATCAAAAATGAAAATTAAATCAATGTGCACATACACACTAGAAATGTGCATTAAAAAAGTATAAAGCATAGCATTAAAAACACCAAGATCATTTGCTCAGTTTCCATGGAAGGCATGAACTGATATAATGTGTATAACTTGCTTTGGATAAAAGCGCGTGCCAAATGCAAAAAAACAGTAAATGAAATCAAGCCAATTTAGAGTTCATGTTGAATTTAACCACCAAAGATGTGTTTTTAAAAACATAAATTTGCAGAATTAAAAAAAGAACAGAGGCAGAGAAAGCATGTGTCACATAAAGATCAGAGCATTTACTTTTATAATACTTTAATATATATATATTTTTTGTGATCCCGCTAAGCCACCATTAATAGTATCAGACTTAAATGTGTGAGAGAAGGACATGGTATTGAATTTTGCCACCACTTCAGAAATGCCTCTCCTATTTGAGTTTTTTCTGTTGCCGCTGGTATATTCACCTACCTTTACACAGATAGATAGCACAGGAATGTGTGATTATACAAAATACAATAATGCCAGCTATAAATAGAAGCTGTCCTATTCTGCCCTTAGACATCTTCAAGTTGCTGGAAAAAATAGCACCAGCCAATGCACTTCACCTCCATATAATAGGCAACCTTTTCTGTAAATGAGAATTAATGATCATGTCTCCGTTTTATTGTGTGGCTCATCCACTGTAAATGAGAGGGTAAACAGAAGACCTCTTCTTCTCTCAGTCACTATGTCTAGTAATTTAGATTTGCTTAAGTCTATTATTTCCTAAATTAGTCAACTGCATTTAGACAGAAGTGGCCCTAACTGCACTGTAACACTTTTTAATTGGGCCTAGTACATAGCCTTGTTGAACACCTCATAACGTGTGCTTACTGAGTTATGCTGTGTGCTAAAATGCTGTGAATGTGATACATCACAACACAATAAGCTGATCACAGCTAAAACTATACGTGAAATATTGGTTTAATTCAGACAGATGACATTTTGTTTACATTTAGACAAATGAGTCAGACACTAGTCTCAGTCTCAAAAGTACACATTGCACACAAAAGCAGAAGGCACTTTTTTGATCTGGCAAGTTTTACTACAAATAATATGGTTAAACTATGGTTTGTGTAGTAAAACCATAGTTCATTTGTGGTTACCATGGTTTAACTACAACAACCAAGTTTCTTATGGTAGTACAACCATGGTTAATTTTCATAAGAGTTGAATGATACTACATTTTTGTTTGAAGCATTCATTAGCAAATAAAATATATCTAAAAAAATAAATAGGTATGACTTTGTCAGTCCTTTGTTTAAGTGGTTGACTCTTGTCCAGAATAAGTAGCTATATGAATCAGCTACTTTAGAGTTGATTTTAGAGTGCTCAAAATCAACATGCACACTATGCATCAAAGAAAGTTTCTTGTATCTTTAAAAGCTCCAACCATTGAAATTTGAATTTGAAACTAAATGAATATGAAAATGTCTTTGGTATAATAATAGAAAATGTTTTGACATAAAAGTCCAATAAAACAAGGACAACACAGACTGCTAAGCCATAGCATGATTCACTTGTTGTATTATGACTCAGAAACTGTATTTAAGCCTGTGTATTTTCATCTCCTGGCCAGCGTCCATGTTATTGGTTGAAGTCTTTTAGGAGCAAGATAATCAGATCTACCTGCCTGTGCTAAATTGTCAGACTGGGCTCTCACAGACAGCTATAGAAGAGCGCAGTTATTTTCTTCTTCTCCTGGTAATTGAGGAACATGCTTTGGCAGGCTTAGTGGAGCAGGGCACCCAAGGAACACGGACAACACACCCCAACTCATCACAAACACACATTCCCATTTACAAAACCCAGAAAGCCCATCTTCCAACACGCTTTTGTGTCAAACTGCAACAGAGCACAGATTCACACTAAATTTCAGATGTCACAAAAGAGAACGCTCTATTACTGCCTCCTCAACACATGCTCACACACACACACACACACACATGCGGCCGCAGCCGGCTCTGTCTCACATGCGAAGGTCTCCATTGACAAAGTAGCGCGATGGTAGTCCCGAAAGTCATGTTCTGCAGGCCAGGTCACGGCACTCTCACACATTCCCATCAATGTTTCATCATGTGCATTTAGTGTTTCTGCACACAGTTTCCCCTTTTGGGTTATGTAAAAATAGCTTATGTAATTGGGCACTTACATAATGAAGCGTTATAAATTATATTTATTGATTTTGGTCGCCTTAACAACAGTGAATTATCTGCTGCAATGCAGATTTTTAATTTTTAAGCGCTCTTCTGATAAGGACACTGCTGTCAGGCTGAGGAACGGCAAGCACAATGCACAGCTTTGGAATTAGCAACAACAATTTCATCCCTTCTAAACATAGACAGCGATGTTGAGTCATTTACACCGGAATAATGCATCAGCAGCCAGGGAAAATAAAAACAGGCCTCTGAACACGTCGTGAACGCGTTGTGTGTGGGTGGTTTGCAAATAGTTTGCATGGACAGAATGATGAGAGGAGTCAAACGTGATTACAGGTCGATAACGACAATGGCGATGACCTCAACGGACGTACCTTAATCCGTAGAGCACGGTGCCGTCGGGATGCAGGCGTATCATTCGGTTCTTGACTGTCACTCCGTGAACGAAGGATTTCTTATCGTTGAGGAAGTAGGTATCGGGCACCCACAGCTGGTCAGCCACGCGGTTATCCAAGGTTAGATTCAGAGGGATCTCTGTGTACGACAAGCGCTTGTCTCGCCAAGCCTGCTGGAAATACATGGTCAGGGTGTAGTCCTAAAAAAAAGAGGAAAGTTAGGGGAAGATGAGATCATGAAGGCTACTGAGAAAATACAACATTCTTCCCACAGATGAAAAAAGTATCTCTCTTTGTTCTCTCTCTGTATTTCCCACATCTCTTCCATCTTTATTTGACCCTCTAACTCTAGCACTCTCTATTCTAATTCTATTCTTTAAAAAAAAAAACTTGTTCCTTTTAGACTTGCACTCTATTCATTTACTAACTGCTAACTGCATTGACACTAGCTTCTCTAATCTTTTTGTATTCTATCTATCTGTTTTCTTTTTATTTATTATATAATTGAAAAACCCTTGCTACGTGTGCTGCGTTAAACTAACTGAGACTTGTTATAGCACTTGTATATCATTGCTCTCTTGTTGATTTTGATTGCTTCTATTGTCCTCATTTGTAAGTCGCTTTGGATAAAACATCTGCTAAATGACTAAATGTATTTGGGTTTTAGTTTTATGTTCAATTTGATGTTTCCAGGTATTTAAAGAAATATGGGCATGTACTTTACAATACGAACATGTAACCAACACTATAATATTTTTAGATGTTTACACCAATATTTAATATTAATAAGACTGACGTTAATATTTAAACTAAACTGTGATTAATATTTAAGTATTTAATATTAATATGTAAAATCACACTGTAAAAAGTGGCAACCTTTAAGGAGCCCTTTCCACCTGATATATACTTTGAATATGTTGAGGTCTTTTTTATGTATTTAAAATAAATGTCTGCTCACCAATAACGTGTTTATTTGATCAGAAATACAGAAAAACAGTAATATTATATAATGTTATTTAACTATAAAATAACAATTTTCTATACATTTAAAAAATACTTTCACATGCTGTTTAATAAATATTTCTTATTATAATCGATGTTGAAAACAGTTGTGCTGCTTAATATTTTTGTGGAAAATTAGACATTTATTTTTCAGTATTCTTTAAATAAACAAACATTTGGTAACATTACGGTCACTTTTGATCAATTTCACACATGCTTGCAGATTAATAAATTACATCTGAAATGTAAATAAGATTAATTTAAATGTAAATGATAACTTAAAATTTAAATTAATTTAAATTAAAATAAAAACATTTATTTGAATTAATTCATAAATTTAGATGAAGCAAGTTGTGTTTATTTAATCATTTTTAGTCCCAAGTCACATGATCAAAGCCTCATCAAGCTTATAAAATAAGAACTAATAATACAGCATCAAGAACATATATTGTCTCTTTGATTAGTTACTACTAACTCTTATTGAGCTGCTTTTATTAACACTCGCCATCTTTCAGATCATTAGTCAACAAATCCTCGTTAAACACTGCAGGTGGTGGCAGGCTTGCAGATGCACCTTTTAATTTAACCCAGCTGCGTGCTCACTAAAAACCTCCTCGCTCACAAATCACTCTGTGTTTCGAGTCATTACAAGTTCATTTCGATTCGGATGTGACCACAAGTGATGATGTCCGAGTGTGTGAGATGTTTGCTCTGTAATTAGCCCATCCGTTTGACACATTATGTTGAGGAGCTGCGATCGTGATAGGCTGTTATTGTCCCACTGACAGGCTAATCAGCCAATCACAGTGAAGCATAATGTCACTGCCGAACACTATTACACTCTTAAAAATTAAAAGTGCTTCACGATGCCATAGAAGAACCAGTTTGTCTGAGTGGTTCCATAAAGAACCTTTAACATCTGAAGAACCTTTCTGTTTCTTTGTGGCGAAAGAATGTTTTTCAGATTATAAAAAGGTAAGAAAGAGATGGTCTTTGACGACCGAACGGTTCTTTGTGGAACAAATATGTGACCCTGGAGCACAAAAGCAGTCATAAGTCGCACAGGTATATTTGTAGAGATATACAATACATTGTATGGGTCAAAATTATTGATTTTTCTTTTATGCCAAAAATCATTAGGATATTAAGTAAAGATCATGTTCCATGAAGATATTTTGTAAATTTCCTACCGTAAATATATCAAAACTTAATTTTTGATTAGTAATATGCATTGCTGAGAACTTCATTTGAACAACTTTAAAGATGATTTTCTCAATATTTAGATTTTTTTGCACCCTCAGATTCCAGATTTTCAAATAGTTGTATCTCAGCCAAATATTGTCCTGTCCTAACAAACCATACATCAATGGAAAGCTTTATTCAGCTTTCAGATGATGCATAAATATCAATTTCAAAAAATTGACCCTTATGACTGGTTTTGTGCTCCAGGGTCACATATGGTTCTTCTATGGCATTGCTGTGAATAACCTTTTAAGCACCTTTATTTTTAAGAGCATAGTTTATAAAAAACAGCTTTATGCTCATAATTTGTAAAATTTCTCATCTTAATTCTGTACCGTCAGTTATTTATTTTTGAGCGTTGCCTCCTGGGATAAAATGCCCCTGATTTTATCCGGGGATTGTTTCGGGAGCGCTGTGGATGTGTTTAGAGGATGACGGTTTCTAGCCCCATATTTATCTCTCCGCGCTTCTCCAGCGGTGACCTGCGAGGGAACTCTTAAAACTGCCAATCGCCTTCTGCCAAAAATAACCAGCACACTTGATAAAGTTGCTCTCAGGCATTAAAGGACCAAACCTCCCTCTGATTCAAAAGCCGATGGAAGAACCAGCTGTGACTCACACTGTCCTGCATGTGCACATTCACATGGCAGCATGAGCAAACACACGCTAAACACACCTGAACACACACACACACGCCCCAGTTCTCCATGACAGATCCCATACACAAATATAACCCCACTACTGCACTACTACTTGTTTTTGCACCACAGTTCTGTCACTGAAAACTGATTCTGTAGACTGATAAGAATCCAAATTATTGATAACCAAGGTAAGACAAAATTTTGGGATCAGTAAGACTTGTAATGTTTTTTAAAGAAGTCTCTTCTGCTCATCAAGGCTGCATCTGATGCCTCAGGCGACAGAGTCCCTTCAGCACTCTTAAAGGGACAGTTCACCCAAAAATAAAAATGTACTCACTCTTAGGCCATTCAAGATGTATGTGGCTTTTTGTTCTTCAGTAGAAGAGTAAAGAAGATTGTTAGCTGAAATCATGGTTGTTGGTGGTTCTTTAAATTCAAGTCAATGGCTATTGCCACTTTGAAAGTAAAAAAAAAAGCATAGCAAGGAACACAAAATGAATCCCTGTGGCTCCTGATGATATATTGAGGTCTTATGAAGCGAAACAATCGGTCTGTGCAAGAAACTGAACATTATTACCTGTAATGCAGAGTCTCAGACGGGCGACAGAGTCCCTTCAGCACTCTTAAAGGGACAGTTCACCCAAAAATAAAAATGTACTCACTCTTAGGCCATTCAAGATGTATGTGGCTTTTTGTTTTTCAGTAGAAGAGTAAAGAAGATTGTTAGCTGAAATCATGGTTGTTGGTGGTTCTTTAAATTCAAGTCAATGGCTATTGCCACTTTGAAAGTAAAAAAAAAAGCATAGCAAGGAACACAAAATGAATCCCTGTTGCTCCTGATGATATATTGAGGTCTTATGAAGCGAAACAATCGGTCTGTGCAAGAAACGGAACATTATTACCTGTAATGCAGAGTCTCAGACAAACGGTCCATAGTGATGTCCGGTTCACGAGCGAATCATTCTTTTGAACCGACTCTTTTTAGTGAATTTGATCCAATTTACCAAATCGGACTGAAGCATCTGAAGTTACTCGCTTCAAAACTTGCTTTCAGACGCCTGACAGTCACTCCGACTCAAAATGAGCCATGTCTGACTTACTTTCTGCTGTGCAACTAAACTGTTTAGTTACCAATCTTTTTCAAAACATCTTTGGTGTTCAGTGTTGGGAAGTAACTAGTTACATGTAACTAAATTACATAATTTAATTACAAAATAAATGTAACTGTAATCAGTTACTGAGAATAAATGTGTAATTAAATTACTTATGAAAATGTTAATGATTACAAAGAGGGTTACATCTGAATTTTTCACACACATGCACAAACAGATTTAGTGGATTTCTTTCATAAATTGCAGTGGCTGCTCTAAAATATGAGACACCAATGTTTCAGGAGTTTGGGACACATGACTGTTTCGATAACTGTTTTATTTCCTATTTGGTTTTATGCATATGCTCTATTTTTTAAGATTAACAGTTTTTTTGCCAGTGTTTTCTGTTAAAACTAAGCAACTATTTCATTTCAATATCAGCATCATAGCTATTAAACTATTTCTTGTTATGATTTGAAACCTGTATTTAACCTCAGAATGATCTCAAAGTCAAACAAAGTGCTAAAGTCTGATTTTGTGGTGGCTGTGCTTTAAAATTAAATGATTATAATCTTAATTCAAGTGAAGAAGTCTTGAGTTCTACTGTAAGGCAAACCCAGCCAGATTTACATGTCTGAAAATTAGACATTTAGAAAAGTGATCAAAAAGTAATCAAATGTAATCAGTTACATTAATAGAGTAATTGAAATAGTTACACTACTTGTTACATTTTAGACAGGGTAACTTGTAATCTGTAACCTATAACATTTCCAAAGTAACCTTTTCAACACTGTTAGTGTTCCACATAAGAAAGTAAGTCATAGAGGTTTGGACTGACATGAGGATGATGATATCTGCTCACTGAGAATAAATTCCAAATAGAATTTAAAAATATATAAAGACTGTATTTCACTAAAGTGATATAAAAAAAAAATAAATAAACATTAGTCACCCTCATGTCGTTCTAAACCTCTATCACTTAAAGTGCGTTCCATTCGACCGAAAGTGAACTGCAAAGTGGACTTCACATATAGTCCATCATCTTAAGTGCGATTCCAGTCTGGAGGGAGCGAACATGTTCAGTTCAAAGGGCATAGAGAATAAGAGTACATCGATACATCACTTCACAGCAAGTGGAGAAGGAAATTCACCCAGCAGTCAATGTGCAGCACTCCAGTACATAGCTTGACTGAAATAAACAAAATAAAATGATTTGAGGCTTCA